CCTGACCAGCATTGATTGCTCCCTTGATGGAGGATTGACTGTCAGCTTGCCCTAACAACTTGCTCCTCTCAGGTTCCCCTCTTGGGCCTGTCAAAAAGATCTATTCAAAACGAGAGAAAGTGGTAGGATCTGCCTCCATTTTTTTTAAATTTTTTTTCCTATTATTTTCGACAGGAAAAATCCATGAAAAAACCCAGCCGCGGTCGCGGCCATGAACTCGGCCGGCCTCCGAGCTTGACCCCGAGGCCGTGGCCGCGGGTGATACGTAGGACTCAACAAGTCTGTAGACTCAGCACTTGCACGCACAGCCTTGAGCTCAAGGAAAGACTTAGTGGCAAGCAGTGGAAAACTTCAACAGCATGCAGCCATTGAGAGAATTGGGAGTGAAGTGTTAACTTTAGTGATGGGCTGCTGGTCACTAGCAGAAAAACAAAGTAGTGAGACTTGCTGGAAAATACCAATAATAACATTTATTGGTGAACAACTTAACCATGGACAACAACTCTCTTAACAGCATGACGCTGTAAAACAAGTAAAATTCTTCTCGTTTGCAAAGAGAAAGGAGATCACGAGGGACGCAGAGATTTTGGTGATAAGGTGTAAGATCAACAAAGACAAATATGAGGACTGGGAGACAGAAACTGCTCAAGACATCGAATTTCATAAATTAATCTTGAGGGAGTGAGTTGTTCAAAGAATTGGGGAGAGAAAATATATTGAATACGTGTTCTACTTCTACGACCACAGTGGCAAACTGCATAGCACTGGTTCATCCCTGGAGATCATTGAGCAGGCCAGGGCGACGCTCCAATGAGAGAAACTACTTTCAGCCTTCTCTCTCTCAAAGGCCTTACCAATGTATCAATCAGCAAGTGTCGACCAGTAACTCAGAGTTTGTTTCCTCAGCACTCAGTTGGCAGTGGCAGCAGTCAGTGACTAGATACTCAACTTCCAATCATCTAGGACATCATCAGTGATCCTCAGTTGGGATATGTTGCCATTCCATTATTATCAGTTCTCTCTCATATCGATATCAACCAATCAGTGTTTATCAGAGGTATACAGGCAGTGAAACATTCACTGGCATCTCATTAATCACTTTTCAGTTCTTCATCAGTCAATTCAGTTCTAGTACTCTTCTCAGCACATGAGTACCATTACTTCCTTTCCTGTTGATCAGACTGGGTCTCAATAGGATTGCTTCCAAGGATGACGTTCGTTACCAGTATGTCAGTGCACTTGGTTTCAGGCAAGGAGATTTGTCAACATTCGTGGTCCTCACTGAGTTTGGAGAGTGAACCATCCGGGATCTGAGAATCTACGTGAAGAAGGGAAAGGAGATTCATGAGCATTGCGATTCAGTCTGCGTCACAGCAGCTCGGTATGTTGAGGGGAGAGCAGGTGAACTTCAGAGGGATACAAAGCTGATTCATAGTTTTGGCCCGAAGTTATACACTGACTACCCTAGGCCACCGGTCCCTTTCTACCTCATCAATGGTTCCTACTGGGGCATTTTGGTTGACCTGGCCTAGAGGTATGTCTCACTGGCAGAGATTGACTCTGCGGCTGTGACTGAACCCTCCGAGTTTGATCATCTCCGTCAAGGGATCTTCTCCAGGCCTTATCTTCCTACTCTATGGGAAGAGTTATGTGTTATGTTTGACTTTCGAATCTTTGGCCTTGAATGGACCTATTTTGTTACGGACTTCGCCAGGGCTCGATCCCTGGTCTATCTTTTGCTGTTTCGGCTACATCCCGTTTTCGGCCTGGCACCCTTTTTCCAAACCCCTCCTTTGGTACCGTAGGATTTTGGACAACTGGCGCCATGCTGCAATTCGGGCGCCACTTTCAAATACTGCATTTTTCA